TATTTGATGTCTGATTGGAGGGTGCTCGATTATCTGCTGTGTCATATTGTACCTACTTGCATACCTGAATACATGTAACTTTGAATCCGTTTCCGTGCATCTGAATACGTTTGAGCGCACAGATGTTTCAGTGTTTAGGTATTTGCATCCGATTTTAAACTATGTTTAAGCACCAAGATATCCATCCTACCCGTGTATCTATCGCCGCAGCTTAAAAAAAATGATCTAAAAATATGGACAATTATAGGCATACATACGAGTTATTGTATCATTCATCTGATTTAGTAATCTTACATCTATATAAATCAACATATACATCTACACGCCTATTCTTACATATATATATATATACCACATTGTGCTATACAGACAATCGTACATCCAGCGCCATATCCCCTTTGCTTACCACCACACCCCCTTCCAAGACTCAACCCTCACACTGTACCCACACTCGCAACCCCCACTCCACAGCGATACCAGGCGTACTGTACAGCCCTGGAGAACTCCGACACACCTACACATAAACCGAGTGGGACTACGCCTCCAGCTATACGCCAATACCCCTCCTGCCCCTCGGCCACGGACAGTGGGGTGTTTGATGACATTGCGCTAGAGGGCTCGCACACGCACACATATATACAACCGACCGCAGACGTAATTGAGTCGACCGCATCAGCTGCGCTACCCCGGCCAGATACTGATACGGATACGACCGGTGTCGCACGCACCGCTGAGAAGGAGATAGAGGGGTCAGGAAATACGACGTCGGGTACGGTATCTGACACAAGAACGGAGAGACTATACGACACAACAGCTGAGCCGACAGGCGATGACAGGGGGCAAGGTTTGGCGCCTGTGAAGCGCACTCAGTCGCAGGAATCAATGGAAGGGGAGAGTCACACACCAGACGACACACCTGGTCATACAGATATGCATATACCCACACAAGCACAGACGCAAATACAAACACAGACTCAGACACAATCACAAACACAATCACAGACACAACAACAATCTCAAGCACAGGCTCGGGTAACAAATGCGCACACCCACACTGATACCCATACGCCTGTACAAGCGGCCTCAGAGAAGGCCCTAGATCAGCTCAGGCATGAGAGGGTGCACGCTAACCCGAGCATTACGGTAGACTTGGCGCTCTCGGACTCGGAGAAGAATCCTGAAAATGCCGCAGATAACTGTGGAAATGCCACAGATGACTGTGGAAATGATACAGGAAGTTGTAGTAGTGGCCGGAACGAGAGGTTATTGGGTCAAGAAGCGGAGCGGGACCCGGCGCTTGATTTTAACAGCGGCGATATTCTATTGGGCGAGCCCCTTTCCGATGACTTACTACTGGACGCTGTGGGCGAAACACAATCCTACAAAAGCCTGCCTGGACGCCTGGGGTGACCAATGCGATGACAAATGAGAGCTGACCATCATTAAACTATATTTAGAATGCATATGTATGAATTTATTTGGTATGGAAGTCTTTTAAGTATCTGGTGAGGAAGTACACCCGGCGTATAGTACACACAGTTTGTTCCCCCGAGTAGCAGTCGTAAAATCGCAAGGCCGATAGACACTACTGTACAATTGTGTCGTAAATCCTACAAGCATGGTCCTTGCATAACTCTACATTGTCGCAAATCGTGACATATTTGTCGCAAACTATTGTCAAATCGTCTTGAATCCGTCTTACATTCTGAACCTGAACGGACAGACTTCTCCGCACCGCCCTGTGCTTAACAATATTCCTTTTGTAACGCTTCCCTGATTCCGTTTCATATCACCTCCGTGTATTGTGTGGTTTTGTTGCCATAGTCAATTCCTCTAAACCGATACACAAAAGAAGCATGTGAAGCATAGCTAAAGTACAAGCATATAGTAAGCATACGTATTAGCATAGCAGTGCTACATTTATAAGGACTGGACCCAATCCAGATCCGGAATCAATCCGAAAAGTGCCCACACACAGTGTGGATTGGCTGGTTTCGCCGCATTAGCTCAAAGCTCACGAGTCAGGCTGGTCTACTTTACTTTATTCAACCAAAAAGAGCCTTGCGCTGTTATAAAACACCATACATTCACTCCAAAACATGCTTTGGTATTAACACTCAATTTGAGTTTTTTTTTTCCTTTTCGCAGACGTGCAGCGTCTTTCGGGCGCTAGTTCGATCCACCATATTATTTTTTCCAAAGATTCTATCAAAGCCTTCTAAATTGAAACATTCCTATTTCTAATTATTCTTCTATAGAGGATCATGGCAGCGTTCTCCCGATTTTAAATACGACCTGGAAAAGCTCCCAGTTTATTCTTGGTCGTCTCCATTTATTTCTTCACTCTTGCCTAATTATACATTCTTGTTTTGTTTTTTCTGTTTTTTTGGATTTGTTTTTGTTTTTCTTACTAACATTACTTTGTACTGCGCGCCAGCTTCCCTTTCGGCTGTGTCCTGTCCTGAAACAACCCCCCAAAAAGTATGCCATCGCGCCGATTCTATATTCAATTCTTGCTGATATTGCCCCTGTTGTATTCTGATTCAATCTGCGGATGTTAAGCCAAAAATTGGTTCAGGTTCAAAAAGCAAATTAAACAAGAATTGGCTGGATTTAAAATCCATTTAAGCCGGGCAATAGTGTTTGCAAAAATACCTGGAAACAACAGCACACGATGTAGCCGATACCAAAAGATAGTCAAAATATACTTCACGATTTTACTGCATAATAATACACGAGTACGCTCTATAGAGTATATGCGCTCATGCATACATATAAAGACATACATATCAGATATCTCCACAAGTGCACACTCTGTACCTTCTCCCGCATCCTCAGCCTGTCTTTTTCGCACAAAAGGCCCTCTTGGACTAGTTCGTACGCTATGCTTTCCGGTGAGTCGGTGTCGGAGTTGTATGGTGTCTGTATTTGACGCCTCATCCCGTCGCTCAGGGCCATGATCAACTAGAGAGTGTAGGGCAAAGACGTGTAAGATATATGTCTTACTAGGTCGTTCACTCATACTTCAGGTCTTATTTTTCTCTAACTGTGAAACTAGTATGCGTTTATTTATATACGTATAAGTATATGTGTTTCATCGTACAACTAGTAGGTGTATTTCTATTTATCTATAAGTATATGTATGTGTATGTAATTTCATCGCATACATCATGGGTACGATGTGCTTGGGTTGTGGTGTGATCACATGTACATTCATCAACGCGTACAGTTTAAAATACGTTTTTAGAACTCCTTCGTGTGTATCTCAGCCACGGACACAAACTCGAACAATCATTAGGTAATTGTGTGTGATGAGAGTGGCTTCGAGGAAGTACATGCATTGAATCAACCCGCATAAACCAACACGTACATGCAGAGGGGGATAAACCAAGTTTTCTGCAGGTGTACATAATCACACCAATGTGATATGGAATAGGCAGCTGTGGCAGCCGGCCGTGAAGAGAAGGGAGCACGTAGATAACTCTCGTACACCCATGTAATACGGATGTGTGTGTTCACTAGCACATTGAAGCTACGAGCGTATGATTGTTTGTCTGCTTGAGCAAGTATCGTGAGCGCGATTAACACCAGCTTTCACCACTTGGAAGGTGAAATAGTTTTAGCCTAAACCCTAAAAACCTTTTCAGTATCCTTCTAGGGTAGCGAGGCAGGTATACACAGTTATGGGAACGGAGAAAGCATTCGGAGTGTATGCAGACGATCCACAAGTGGCTACTCAGACGCGTCCCTACTTTTTGTTAAGCGAATGTAGTGCGGGCCCTGTTCGACAATATCGTACCAACCACTGACCAGATTTCTGAGCGCTAACCGGATTTATGAGAGTGAATAAACCAATCATCTCGTACCCCTTCGTTCCATTAACACAGTGAAGTTCACCAACACCACACCTCGGATAAGGTAGATAAAAGACAAGCAACCGGCTATGCGCCTCACCAGACACAAGACACTCCTCTCACTCAAACCCCATCCCAATGTACTACGAACCAGCATCTCCAGCCAGACATGACTACACATAAACTCTACTCACACTTAATTGGGATTGGCGTTCGCCCGAGGCCTTCTTGCTGAAGAAAGCGTACTGGTGTCCCGTAGTCAGACGTCGCGTTTCGCGTAAGCGAACGTTGGCCAGAAATCCCCACGTACCCGAATCCACATCCTGATAACATTAACCAGAGAGTGTTAAATTCGGTACAAGATTAGGGCAAAGTACTCAACCAGATAGTTTTGAATACGGGATAAATTTAGGACAAAGTACGAGTGTGTTTTCCCTGGATATGGGGACCACCAATATAATCTAGATACGAATCTATAACCCTTTGGCGCCCGTAGTTCACTTCCTGATCTACACAGGACAAGTATACTAGTGGACTTACCCACAACAAGGTAGGGGACCTGAGTATACATAAATGCTACTACGACCTGATATTCTCAGGCATGGGATTTTCTTAGTCTGAGCCAGAAACACAGCCTCAAGTTGACGAAGGTATGATAGTAACTACACACAAAAAGAGACACACAAATGCGCAAACCATTACGCATCCAAGGTTACTATTGTAATCCAGAAAATATTTACTCCTGCGTATTGAATAAACGTACTCCTGTATAGAACTTTTGCATGAAGAATGACGGCAACAAGGGGTTAAGAGATCATACGTACAATCACATATACATAAAAACATACATACATACATATTATA